ACCTCAATTAAGAAAATGCAGCCAGGCGGCGGTGGCACACACCTTTAATCCCATCCCTCCAGAGGCAGAGGCAGGTGGATCTCTGTGAGTTTGAGGCCAGCCCGGTCTATATCGTTAGTTCCAGGACTGGCTTCATAGCTACTGAGAAACCCTGTCTCGAAAAACCAAAAAAAGAAAAAAAGTAAAAAGAAAATGTTTCCAGGGGCTGGGGAGATGGCTCAGTGGTTAAGAGCGCTGACTGTTCTTCCAGAGGATCAGGGTTCAATTCCAGCACCCACGTGGTACTTGCAACTGTGTATTACCCTAAAATCTGACACCCTCACACAGACATACATACAGGTAAAGCACCAATGCAAATAGAATAAAAATAAGTTTAAAAAAAGAGAAAATGTTTCTATAAGATAGGGTTGTAGGCAGACCTGTAAAGCATTTTCTTTACTAGTAATTGATGGGTGTTGCCATCCCTGAGCTTGTGGTCCTGGGTTCTAAAAGAAAGCAGGCTGAGCAGGCCATGGGGAGCAAGCTGAGAAACAGCTCCTGCCCTGTTTGAGTTCCTGTCCTGATTTCTTTTGCTGACAAACAGTGATATGCAAGTGTCAGTCAAATAAACACTTTCCTCCTCGACTTGCTTTTTGGTCAGGTGTTTCATCACAGTAATAGTAATCCTAATTCAGACAAACAGGCTCTTCCGGTAACTTGGAATGGAGATGTGTGGGAGGACCCTACTGATGCTGAGAACTCTGAACCCTCAGATTCTCAAGGTTTATCTCACCTGAGGAAGTCTTCTCTCCGCCCTCAGCAGAATATGTACCCTCAGTCCACCCCCTGAAATACTGCCCTTTCTGCTTTGATTGAGGAAATCAATCCCGAGTAGTCCGCTAAACCAGCTGTGACTTTCTCTGAAGGTGATGGCAGGCAATACTGTTGTCCCTCAGGGCCCAGAAACAGTTGCCTTTAGACCTATAACCAGACTCAAGGCAAAGCAGGAGCCTAGAGGGGAGGTAGAAAGTGTAGTCCAGGAGGAGATGCACTATGCTACTAAAGGGCTTAATGAGTTTGCTATTTCATTCAAGCAGAAGTCTGGGGAATACATGTGGGAATGGATTCAAAGGGTGTGGGATAATGGTGAAAGGAACATAAAACTGGATCAGGCTGAGTCTATCAATAAAAGGGTCCACTGAATGGAGATTCTGGGTCTAATACGGAAACTCACTCAGTTCAAAGGTGTCAAAAGTTTGTTTGAATGGTTAGCCGAGAAGCATTTGTCAAAAGCTGGCCTACTGAAAAGGAGTTGGAGATGCCTGATAGTCCCTTGTTAATGATGATGAAGGGATTTTAAGGGAAATTGGAATGGTTGAGTGGGTACACTGTGTAAATCCTAATCCCCCACAATGGGAGGGCCCAGAAGACAGGCCCTTCACTAATCCTATAAGATGCTGAATGGTGAGGGGCACCAGCACATCTGAAGACACATTCCTTTTCCTTGTGTCAGACATTAAGCTTGGAGATGCTGCTGCTCAATTGAATGAATTAAATGCAATGGGTTTAATTGGGCTCCGAGGTAGCAGGGGCCAGGTGACAGCATTGAATTTCCAGAGACAAGGTGGCTGTAGTTATAATGGGCAGCACGGACAAAGCCGTGTCCATAATGGCCCAACCAGTAATGGACAGCACAAAGTGAATTTTCTGGTGGCATGACTCATATGGACCTTTTGTACTGGCTAGTCAATCATGGTGTTTCCAGCCAAGAAGTAGATAAGAAGCCTACTGCATTTTTGTTTGATCTGTATATGTGGGAAAGTTCTCAAACAAATGAAAACTAGGCCCCAGTGGATCGTGGCAAAGGGAATCTTGGCCTGTGAACCAATTTCCGGGCTTGAGTCAGTTTGCAGACCCAAGAACCCATTGAGTGAAGGGATGGCCAGGTTCCCTTGAGGAAGCACCTTGTTAAAGTACCTAAGAGTTTTGCTGTTAGCCTTTCCCCAGTCCTTCCCCAGAGGGACCCCTGGACTTTTACAAGGGAAACTGTACACTGGGGGAAAGGAAACAGCCAGACTTTCTGGGGTCTATTAGATACTGGTTTTGAACTGACACTGATTCCAGAACACCCCAAGAAGCACCATGGCCCTCCAGTTAAAGTATGGGCTTACAGGGGCTGGAGAAATGGCTCAGAGGTTAAGAGCATTGCCTGCTCTTCCAAAGGTCCTGAGTTCAATTCCCAGCAACCGCATGGTGGCTCACAACCATCTGTAATGGGGTCTGGTGCCCTCTTCTGGCCTGCAGACACACACACAGACAGAATATTGTATACATAATAAATAAATATTTTTTAAAAAGTATGGGTGTACAGAGGCCAGGTGATTAATGGAGTTTTGGCTGAAGTCCAATGCACAGTAGGTCCAGTGGGTCCTGGAACTTGTCCTGTGGTTATTTCCCCAGTTCCAGAATGTACAATTGGGATAGATCCTCTTAGAAGTTGGCAGAATTCTCACACTGGTTCCCTGACCTGCGGGGTAAGGGTTATTATGATTGGAAACGCTAAATGGAAGCCTTTAAAATCGCCTCTGCCAGGAAAAATAGTGATTCAGAGAAAATACTGTGACCCTGGAGGAACTGCAGAGATCAGTGCCACCATCAAGGACTTGAAAGACGCAGGGGTGGGGGTTCCCCCCACATCTCCCTTTAACTCTCCTACCCGGCCAGTGCAGAAGACTCATTGCTGGAGGGACACTCATTTCTGTAGCAGTTGAGTCTCGTGGGACTCCCCTGGGAAAAGACATTAGACACATGTGCTGCTTCATCTGGACTGTGAGACGCTCAGCTTGTGAATGGAATTCACAGATCAGGCAGTGTCTTTTTTCCTTTTCTAATCTTGTTCTATGTATATTCTTTCATTGTAAAGAAGCATGGCTACCATCAAATCTGAGGGTGCTTGTCAGGTGGTGGTGGTGCAGCCGGGCAGTGGTGGTGCACACCTTTAATCCCAGCACTTGGGAGGCAGAGGCAGGAGGATCTTTGTGAGTTCGAAGCCAGCCTGGTCTACAAGAGCTAGTTCCAGGACAGGCTCCAAAGCTACAGAGATACCCTGTCTCGAGAAACAAAACAAAACAAACCCAACCAACCAAACAAACAAACAAAAAAACTGAGGGTGGTCTTGGAGATCCTCAAGACGAACACAAACACAAAAAGGTTGATGGAAAAAGAAAAGATGATAAAAATATTAACATTGGAACAGCTGGTTGAAGATGTATAGGCATTGCTGCTTTGTGGCTTCAAGTCTGAAATTATTTTAAAATAGAAAATTTAAAATTGAGTGCAGTTTAGCGGTATGTTTGCCTAGAATATGCCAGACCTCTGGGTTCCATCCCTAGTGTGCATACACACACAGATACACACACAAGAATTTTGCATCTGTGGTACATGAAGAATAATTAGCTTTCTTGTAATGGCTTTCTCTGGGTTTGGAACGGTGTAATACTAGTCTCTTAGAACAAGTATCCTTATTTTAAGATCAGGAAGTACCCTCATCTCTTCAATTCTCTAGACGAGTTTGTTCAGAATTGGTACTATATTTCTCCTAAGTATATGGAAGAATTCTTCCAATCCCCCCCACCACACACACACACAGAGAGGCATTCTGTGTTCTTCAAAGAATTTGCTATGAGAACTATTGGCATGAAGTTGTTCCCTTTATTAGCTAGCATATATTAATTATACACAATAATGGGCTTCATTAAGACATTTCCATACTTGTATATATTTTGGTCATATTCACCTCCATTATCCTCTCCTGTCCCACTCCTCCCCCCACACTCCTTCCTCTCCCCAGGCAGTGCCTTTTTATTTTCAAGCATTTTTTGTGATCTAATGAATTTCATTAGCATGGGTGAGGGATTATTTACAGGAACACGAGCCTCTCCCTTATCAGTGGCCACCACTGAGGAAACGGTCTCTCCCTTCGGCCAGCCTTCACTAACTGCCAATGACTCCTCAGGGAGGGGTAGAGGCTTATGCTCATGAGGCCCTCCCCACTAGTAACAGTGAACTGCCTAGAAATCCTTAGGAATTAGGTGTAGAGGGCCGGTTTTGAACTGCATAGAAACTCTGTGCAAGGGAGACGTGAGGTAGCATTCTTGCTGATAGGCTTAGCAAACCAAGTCAGGAGGAGGCAAACCTCTCCCATCAGTAGAGTGCCTTGCCAATGGTCAGTCCTTGAGAACACAGATGTGCACTGTAGTTCAAAGGCTCTGAGAGGAGACATTCATAGAGATTTACATGTTGTCTAAAGGACAAGGGGACAAACAAGAGACTAAAAATGATATAGATAAAACTCATATATGGACAATAATGAGTTTTAAGAAAAACTATAAAAATTCTAAATATTTAATTATGTTGTGCTAATTCTGATTGATTCCTCCATTAATAAGTCTGGTGATTCTTCACTGAAGAATAGTTATATTAATTATGCAATCATGTTCTTTAAAGGTAAAAGGAAGACTGAGGTCCTAAATACAAGTTAATAATTAATCATCATAATACAAGCAATCCTCTGAGTTACAGGGTTCTATATGATTGTCCTCCTATAAAATAATAATGCTAAAGCTCTTAGCTATTAAGACTCATAGAGAAGTCCAAACATGTTTCTTAAAAACTTCAACATCCCATCTATGGTCAGTAAATTAAAACTGCAGTCTAACTGCTCCTATGATGGTTAGTCATAGGTCAAAATGCTTTTATTTTGAGTCTATATTAATTTAGAGGGTCGAAAAAAATAATAAATAAAAAGCTGAGAACATCAATACAGGTTGTAAGGATTTGAAGACATAAAAGCTTGGAGATTATATGGGTCTTAGAGGATATTCTAAAATTATAAAATTTATAAGAAATAATGGCTTTAGATGTATATAAAAATTTACAAGATTTCTTTCCCCTTTCTTAATTATTAAGAATATGAGTAAGCAAACTTCAAATGAATCCATAAGTTTAACTTCTGTTCCCAGTCTGTATCTGTTTTACCAGGTTTCCACTTGGCTGACAATCACATCCAAGCATCAATTGCTGATAACAACCTGCTCCAAATGATTATGAGTCCTGAACTTGCTAAAACCTGACGTGGACCAATCCAGCCAATGTGACTGCTGTCTTTCCAGCTTGTCAATGTACCAGATTCTTGTAAGTTCCCTCATTGCTTTGGACTAACATTCTAGCCTTCCAGGGCCCAGAGAACAACGTCCTAAGGTCAGCAGGAAGTAATTACAGAAATGAACACATCATCCCTGCCCCGCCACCTGGAATGTTAGATAAAAAGGAAATTTCTCCGTCAGTCATCACAGGGGTTTTGGCCATTAATGCCTTCAATAAATAATAATTCCTATCTGGGTGCCATTAAATTAATGTTACTAAAATCTCAATATCAGTCTCTAAAATAAATTCATCTCAAGGATTTGAGAAGATGTACTAAGCAGGGGCAAGGAATTTTTTAAAGAGGACCATTTTGTCATTAATAACCTTATAGCTGAACAACCCATTTCACAAGCTCGAACTGTGTTTACCGAAGGTTCTAAAACTCATGTCGCTTATTGTAGTGAATCAAAGTTCTGGTCACAATTATCTCCTTATACATTGGTACAACAGATTGAATTATGGACAGTCATTCAGGCATTGCAGGATTTTCCTACTGAAGCCCTTATTTTAGTGGCTGTTTCCAAATATGTAGTTGGGTTGTAAAGACCATCTGCACTGCTTCTATTTATGTTAATAATCCTATATTGCAAGGGTTATTTTTAGCATTACAAAAGTTAATGTAAAATGATATTATGTACGATCACATATCAAATTACCTGGATATCTAACAAAGGGGAAATAATCTAGCTGATGCCCTTGTAAACTTTGCTTCGGCTGAGGATGAGCATCAACATTTACACATCAATGCTCCTCACTTATATGTTCAATATAAGATTCCTTACAGACAAGCTAAGTGTATTATTCTTAGCTGTCCTATCCGTCATTCCCTGCATTTAATACAAAATATCCCTGGCACAAATCCTCAGGGGTTGGATTCCAACCATATTTGGCATATGGATGTAACTTATATACCTGAATTTGGCCGGGTATTTTATGTTCATGTGACCATAGATACATTCTCCTTCATGATATGGGGTACGCCATTATCTGGAGAGACAACTAATCATGTCATTCCCATTTATTTGAAGCTTTTGAGGTATTGGGGGTGCCAACCATGATAAAGACAGACAATGGGCTTGCATACTCCTCTACAAAATTTTAGCGATTCTGTGATCAATATGATATTAAACATGTGACTGGCATAGAATATAATCCTCAAGGCCAAGCCATTGTAGAAAGAGCCCACTCTACCTTATAGCAACAAATTAAAAAACTAAAAAGGAGGAAAATGAAGGACTTGGGTATGAAAGACATTTGGGATTTACAGAATAATCCTAGAGATATTATGCATCAGATTTTATTTTGAACTTTTTAATTTACCACAGGGAGACATTCTGACTAGAGCTGAGAAGCATTTTGTGTCTGAAAAGTCTCAGGCTTTGGAGCCAGCTTCTTTTAAGGAAATTTGAGTGAAAACTGCTGTTGATGCTGAATGGGTTCCAGCGCAGTTGTTGGTAGATAGAAGGGGTATGGTCTTGTGTCTTTTCAGTATGACCACCAGCAGTAGATTCCAGGCCGTTGGATCAAGGCCCGAAGGCCCGATTAAAACGACAGTGCAGAGAAGAATGACATCGAGGGGAAACAAGGACAATCTTGAGGTGCTGGTGGCAGCAATGGCCCAGTTATCATTGACCAGAAAATGTCCTCATTGGCATGTTAAAGCTCCTTTGCCTACCTGGGGGCAAATTAAGTCTCTCACTGCTAATGGTCAAGCTGTTCTGCAGAGGTATGATAAACCTGTTACAGCCCAGAATCTTTTCCTGGCCATGTGTGCTTTACTGTTGGTAACTTCTGCAGAAGCCAATAGCTCCAGCTACAAAGAACAACGAGACAGTTAACGGTCCAGTCCTCGGCTTATGGCTTGGGGAGATGGAGGGTTAAGCGGACCTCGGATGGCTACTCTACAATTTCCCGACGCTGGTCAGATGCATATTTGGAAGCTGACTGCTGCCTTAAAGACTGTGCACCTCTATAATGGATCATTTTCTGGAACTGCTTCCAGTGCTTCTGTGTATAACTTCACTGTTGTGGGAGTAACTTCCGCTGCCTCAACCAATAGTCACTGAAATACGAGCCCACAGTGCAGCGGGGAGCGACTTCCGCTCCGTCAGCCAATAGCTGCTGAAATACCAGCCCACTGGGGCGTGGTATATTTCTCTTTTAAAAAGAGAAGCAGATCCGGATCAGGCTCTCTTGGTTCCGGCTCTTGGTTCCGGTGCTTGCTCCTGGCTCCTGCTCCCCGGCTCCTGCGACTAGGCTCCCTTCCTGACGGTTTATGGTGTATGTAAGTTTTACCCCCCAAAATAAATAACCCCTTAAAACATAACTGGTGTGGGATTGATTCGCCGATAATTGACGCCCAACGTTTGGTTTAAGAACCGCCCCACCCCCCCACCCCCAGCTCGGCCTCCCAGGATACACAGGTTCAGACAGTCTCTGCCGGCTTACTTTGCCCTGTTCGGCACGGATTTTTAAATTTCTCCTTGCAACGTGAGTCAAAGAGCTCACAGCGCAAGCTCCCTTTGAAGTTCCAGCAAGCTGTTTGAAACCCCTGCCATCCGCCATAACTGATTAGGAGTGCTGCAAGCAGCTTGACCCTTAATCCCAGCACAGGGACACGGGGCCCAAAGCACTAGGCCTCTTTAGCAACAGCGCAGTGGCTGTGTCACGACCCTCTGCATCCGGTTGAACAGAGCAGCAGGGCCTTGTTTATTGCCTTGTTTATTGGCCACTAGAAGCTCTCTGACCTTTTGTGATCTGTGGATTTAACCTCTGGATTTGAGTGTATATATTCTAGAGTTTCCTTCCTCAATCAACACCACTGCCACGTGGATTCAGGTGCGCCCCACCTCCTACTGGCAGGCAACGGTCATTACAGGTAAGATTTTTCTTTTCGGTTGAAAATAAATACATACATACATACATACAAGTACAATTTCCTTTGATTGAAAATGTCGGAAAATATTACTATCCAAAAGTTCAATGGTTTTTTCAATTGCGCTATGGAGGATATTCTGAAGGATGTCTCAGATATTCCTCTTACTTTGTTATTCCTGGGATCTGTTGCTTTTCTGGTGTTTGGCTATTTTATAAGAAAGATACAGTCCTTACAGACTGAATCTACAATGCTGAGGGCAGAGATTAAAACCTTAAGAACAATTCAGACTGATACCAACCTCCTCAAAAAAGAGTTTGGAGATTTCAAGGAAGAAACTAGATCAGAGTTTGGAGATTTCAAGGAGGAAACTAGATCAGAGTTTGGAGTTTTCAAGGAGAAAACTAGATCAGAGTTTGGAGATTTCAAGGAGGAAACTAGATCAGAGTTTGGAGTTTTCAAGGAGGAAACTAGATCAGAGTTTGGAGTTTTCAAGCAGGAGACTAGATCAGAGTTTGGAGTTCAAATTCTAGGGGAAGGACCTTACTCTGATCCTCAGGAACAAGCTCTTTATGATGAAAACATTTTATCCATATGTGCTACAGCAGCTCTAAGGGCCTGGGACAGGGTTCAAGACTCAGGTCAGAGAGTAGAATCGTATGTCAGGGTCAAACAGGGTCAGAGAGAACCCTTTAGTGACTTTTTGCAATGACTAACTAAGGCTGTACAAATAGGGATACCTGATCCAGAAGCAAGAAATATAGTAATTGAGTCTTTGGCTTATGAGAATGCCAATGTAGAATGCAAAAGGATCCTGGGGCCTTTAAAGCTCAGATCAACGCCTTTGGACGAATGGGTTTTACATACAATGAATGTTAATACATTTGATTATGGCAATGAAACATAGGTACAAGAAGCAATTTCCAAAGGTAAAAGGAGACATCAGATTACAAAATGCTTTCATTGTGGCAAAATGGGACACATGAAAAGGGACTGCAGACAATGGAATTCCAGGAATAATGCCTCTTCTAGGAATAACAGGAATAGGAAGACTCAGCCTTCAGGTTTATGTAGGAGATGTGGAAAGGGCAGGCATTGGACGAATGAGTGTAGGTCAACAAGAGATAAACAGGGCAACCCATTGCCATCGGGAAACTCAATAGGGGGCCTCTCGAAGGCCCCCATGGCAAATGTGGTCCAGTCATTTCCGATCACTGCAGAGAACATGCCTCTTCAGGGAAATTAGAATGCCCCATGCCTGCTGTTAAAAGCAATAACGGCCTGAAGGATGAGTTAAATGTGGTGAATGAATCAAGAAATCTAAGAGGACAAAGTAAACGAATATTCTGGCAGACTTCTATAAATGAACAAAGACCACAGCTAAGAGTGTGTGTAAATGGCAAACTTATTACTGGCTTACTGGACACAGGTGTGGATGTAAGTATCATTACACCAGAGTCTTGGCATCCGCATTGGCCTCTTCAGGAGGTAGATATTCAGTTCTTAGGAATTGGAACCCTATCTCGAGTAAGACAAAGCACGAGATGGGTCAATTGTATAGGTCTAGATGGACAAATAGGAAAACTAAGGCCATATGTAGCAAATATTGCAGTGAATTTATGGGGCCGTGACCTATTGCAGCAATGGAACACCCAAATTAACATTCCTGCTGCTTCCAGAGCCTATATTTCTGAGGACAATATTACAAGATATTACAGATGGCGGAAACCAGCCATTAGAGCTATACAAGAACACAACACAATTGATGGCTCTTCAGAGGTACCAACAGCCATGCCTCTACAATGGTTGACTGAGAAACCAATATGGACTAAACAGTGGCCTTTAGCTGAGGAAAAGTTACAGGCTTTAGAACAGCTGGTACAAGAGCAATTAGATGCTGGACATATAGAAGAATCTGCCAGCCCTTGGAACTCTCCTGTGTTTGTTGTTAAGAAAAAATCTGGTAAATGGAGAATGGTGACAGATCTTAGAGCTATCAACAAGGTTATTCAACCTATGGGCCCTCTGCAATCTGGAATTCCTCTGCCCTACTTGTTACCAAAGGGATGGCCTCTTATAGTTATTGATCTGAAAGATTGTTTCTTCACTATACCATTACAAGAAAAAGATAGAGAAAAGTTTGCCTTCACAGTGCCTACCTATAATAACTCTCAGCCTGCAAGGAGGTACCAGTGGACCGTCCTCCCACAGGGAATATTGAACTCTCCCACCCTGTGCCAATATTTTGTAAGCCAACCATTGAAAATTATACGCAAACAATTTCCTAAGTCCATAATATACCACTATATGGATGATATCCTGATATCTGATCAAAACAAAGATACCTTAGAAAGGCTGTTCGAAGAAGTAAAACTAGTATTACCTAAATGGGGATTGCAAATTGCTCCTGAAAAAATTCAGAGAGGAGATTCTGTTAATTATTTAGGTTATAAAATAGGCTTACAAAGAATTAAGACTCAAAAGGCACAAATCAGGAGAGACCGGTTACGAACTCTTAATGACTTTCAAAGATTATTGGGAGACATTTCCAGTCTACGACCAGCTGTTGGGATAACACCTGATCTAATAATTCATTTAAACAAAACCTTAGATGGTGACAAAGATTTGAATAGTCCCAGAGAGTTAACAGCTGAAGCAGAAAAGGAACTGATGATGGTTGAGGAAAAATTACAGGAGGCACATGTAGATAGGGTGGATCCAAATCTTAGTTGCATTCTAGTTATATTACCTTCCAGAATTTCTCCTACAGGAATTTTAATGCAGAGGGAAGATACTATTTTAGAATGGATCTTCTTACCACACAAACCAAGTAAAAAATTAAAAACTTATGTGGAAAAAGTCTCTGAATTGATTATAAAAGGAAAATTGAGACTTCGTCAATTAGCAGGTATAGACCCAGCAGAAATTATAGTGCCTTTCACTGCTGATGAGATAAAAAAGTTGTGGGAAGACAATGAACCATGGCAAAGAGCTTGTGCTAATTTTTTGGGAGAAATCAATAACAATTACCCAAAAAGCAAGAGACTTAACTTTATAAAGAGAACTTCTTGGATCCTCCCTCGAATTGTCCGTGATGCTCCAATAACCGGAGCCCATACATTTTATACCGATGCTAATAAATCAGGGAAAGCAGGTTACAAATCAGAAGAATTGAGTAAAGTGGAACAAAGTCCTTATGATTCTGTCCAGAAGGCAGAATTATATGCCATCCTTATGGTGCTTAGGGATTTTAAAGAACCTCTTAATATAATTACTGACTCACAATATGCAGAAAGAGTTATTTTGCATATTGAAACTGCTGAATTTATACCTGATGATACAGAATTGACCTCATTGTTTATCCAGGTACAAGACATGATCAGAAACAGGCTCTGCCCTATGTATATAACGCATATCCGATCCCATATGGGTCTGCCAGGTCCTCTAGCACAAGGTAATGCAGATATTGATCAATTATTGATTGGTAGTGTGCTGGAGGCATCTGAATTTCATAAAAAACATCATGTCAATAGCAAAGGCTTGAAAAAAGAGTTTTCTATTACATGGCAACAAGCTAAGGAGATTGTAAAGAAATGCCCTACTTGCTCTTTTTATAACCAAACACCATTGCCTGCAGGGACTAATCCAAAGGGTATTAAAAGGAATGAAATTTGGCAGATGGATGTGTTTCACTTTCCAGAATTTGGCAAGTTAAAATATGTACATCACACCATTGACACTTATTCAGGCTTTCAGTGGGCAACCGCTTTAAGCTCAGAAAAAGCTGACTCAGTAATCACACATTTATTAGAAGTTGTGGCCATTATGGGTATACCTGCACAAATAAAAACAGATAATGGTCCAGCTTATGTATCTAGGAAAATGAAACGATTTTTTGCTTATTATAATATTAAGCATGTTACAGGTATACCATACAATCCTACAGGTCAAGCAGTTATAGAAAGATCAAATCGTACTGTAAAGGATATGCTAAACAAACAGAAAGGGACGAAAGATACCCCCAGAAATAGATTGCATAATGCTTTATTAACCTTGAATTTTCTTAATGCTAATGAGAAAGGAACAACAGCAGCAGAGAGGCATTGGATAATGGAAAAAACTTCTGAACTAAACCAACCTGTTTATTTCAAAGACATGCTGACCTCTCAATGGAGGCCAGGAGATGTGCTACGTTGGGGA